AATCATTAACAAAGATATTCAGTTCCAAAACTACCACCAAGGGATGACAAACATCAAAATTTACACATCATAAAAGTATTAATGCACAAAATTTGAATGATTCATCCAAAACATTCTCAAGCTTTTGTTCTGAAACAAATAATAAAACCTAACATTACACAAAACTTGCTCTAGCAAACATCTCCATAGGTGGTTCTCGCTTCGCACACAGAGTCCAGGTTTGATTCCCGGTGAGGGTACAAACATAGGATGTGTTTCCTTACACTGGTTGTCCATGTTCATCCATCAATTATCAATATTATTATTAAGATGCTTCAAAATGTCAAAGTTCCTCTCTGCACAAAATTTGCTGCAAATAAATAAATTCTTGGTAATTATCTTCTCTGAATATTCTTTGATCATCACAAAACTTCTTCAGTAAATTACAGACTTTTGTAAAATGAATTTTATTGCTGAGAGTTTCATAAAGAATTGATAAACAACTTGTATAATTTGTGTACTAGTAACACTGCTACATCACTTCCCTCCATCACTGTAACACTGCTACATCACTTCCCTCCATCACTGTAACACTGCTACATCACTTCCCTCCATCACTGTAACACTGCTACATCACTTCCCTCCATCACTGTAACACTGCTACATCACTTCCCTCCATCACTGTAACACTGCTACATCACTTCCCTCCATCACTGTAACATCACTGCTGACATCACTTCCCTCCATCACTGTAACACTGCTACATCACTTCCCTCCATCACTGTAACACTGCTACATCACTTCCCTCCATCACTGTAACACTGCTACATCACTTCCCTCCATCACTGTAACACTGCTACATCACTTCCCTCCATCACTGTAACACTGCTACATCACTTCCCTCCATCACTGTAACACTGCTACATCACTTCCCTCCATCACTGTAACACTGCTACATCACTTCCTCCATCACTGTAACACTGCTACATCACTTCCCTCCATCACTGTAACACTGCTACATCACTTCCCTCCATCACTGTAACACTGCTACATCACTTCCCTCCATCACTGTAACACTGCTACATCACTTCCCTCCATCACTGTAACACTGCTACATCACTTCCCTCCATCACTGTAACACTGCTACATCACTTCCCTCCATCACTGTAACACTGCTACATCACTTCCCCTCCATCACTGTAACACTGCTACATCACTTCCCTCCATCACTGTAACACTGCTACATCACTTCCCTCCATCACTGTAACACTGCTACATCACTTCCCTCCATCACTGTAACACTGCTACATCACTTCCCTCCATCACTGTAACACTGCTACATCACTTCCCTCCATCACTGTAACACTGCTACATCACTTCCCTCCATCACTGTAACACTGCTACATCACTTCCCTCCACTGTAACACTGCTACATCACTTCCCTCCTATCCTGTAACACTGCTACATCACTTCCCTCCATCACTGTAACACTGCTACATCACTTCCCTCCATCACTGTAACACTGCTACATCACTTCCCTCCATCACTGTAACACTGCTACATCACTTCCCTCCATCACTGTAACACTGCTACATCACTTCCCTCCATCACTGTAACACTGCTACATCACTTCCCTCCATCACTGTAACACTGCTACATCACTTCCCTCCATCACTGTAACACTGCTACATCACTTCCCTCCATCACTGTAACACTGCTACATCACTTCCCTCCATCACTGTAACACTGCTACATCACTTCCCTCCATCACTGTAACACTGCTACATCACTTCCCTCCATCACTGTAACACTGCTACATCACTTCCCTCCATCACTGTAACACTGCTACTTCACTTCCCTCCATCACTGTAACACTGCTACATCACTTCCCTCCATCACTGTAACACTGCTACATCACTTCCCTCCATCACTGTAACACTGCTACATCACTTCCCTCCATCACTGTAACACTGCTACATCACTTCCCTCCATCACTGTAACACTGCTACATCACTTCCCTCCATCACTGTAACACTGCTACATCACTTCCCTCCATCACTGTAACACTGCTACATCACTTCCCTCCATCACTGTAACACTGCTACATCACTTCCCTCCATCACTGTAACACTGCTACATCACTTCCCTCCATCACTGTAACACTGCTACATCACTTCCCTCCATCACTGTAACACTGCTACATCACTTCCCTCCATCACTGTAACACTGCTACATCACTTCCCTCCATCACTGTAACACTGCTACATCACTTCCCTCCATCACTGTAACACTGCTACATCACTTCCCTCCATCACTGTAACACTGCTACATCACTTCCCTCCATCACTGTAACACTGCTACATCACTTCCCTCCATCACTGTAACACTGCTACATCACTTCCCTCCATCACTGTAACACTGCTACATCACTTCCCTCCATCACTGTAACACTGCTACATCACTTCCCTCCATCACTGTAACACTGCTACATCACTTACCTCCACTGTAACACTGCTACATACCTTCCCTCCATCACTGTAACACTGCTACATCACTTCCCTCCATCACTGTAACACTGCTACATCACTTCCCTCCATCACTGTAACACTTCTACATCACTGCCCTCCATCACTGTAACACTGCTACATCACTTCCCTCCATCACTGTAACACTGCTACATCACTTCCCTCCATCACTGTCACTGTAATACTCCTACATCACTTCCCTCCATCACTGTCACCATAACACCTGTCATTTCCCTTCCCTCCATCACTGTGTCACCATAACACCTGTCACTTCCCTTCCCCCCATCATTGTGTCACCATAACATGTGTCACATCACTTCCCTCCATCACTGTGTCACCACAACACCTATCACTTCCCTTCCCTCCATCAGTGTGTCACCATAACACTTGTCACTTCCCTTCCCTCCATCACTGTGTCACCGTAACACCTGTCACTTCCCTTCCCTCCATCACTGTGTCACCACAACACCTGTCACTTCCCTTCCCTTCATCACTGTGTCACCATAACACCTGTCACTTCCCTTCCCTCCACCACTGTGTCACCATAACACCTGCCACTTCCCTTCCCTCCACCACTGTCACCATAACACCTGTCACTTCCCTTCCCTCCATCACTGTGTCACCGTAACACCTGTCACCTCTGTTCCCTCCATGACTGTGTCACCAGAACACCTGTCACTTCCCTTCCCTCCATCACTGTGTCACCATAACACCTGTCACTTCCCTTCCCTCCACCACTGTGTCACCATAACACCTGCCACTTCGCTTCCCTCCATCACTGTGTCACCATAAAACCTGTCACTTCCCTTCCCTCCATCACTGTGTCAGCACAACACATGTCACTTCCCTTCTTTCCATCACTGTCACCACAACACCTGCCACTTCCCTTCCCTCCATCAATGTGTCACCATAACACCTGTCACATCCTTTCCCTCGATCACTATGTCACCACAACACCTGTCACTTCCCTTCCCTCCATCACTGTCACCACAATACCTGTCACTTCCCTTCCCTCCATCACAACACCTGTCACTTCCCTTCCCTCCATCACTGTGTCACTGTAACACCTGTCACTTCCCTTCCCTCCATCACTGTCACCATAACACCTGCCACTTCCCTTCCCTCCATCACTGTGTCACCATAACACCTGTCACTTCCCTTCCCTCCATCACTGTCACCATAACACCTGTCACTTCCCTTCCCTCTATCACTGTCACCATAACACCTGCCACTTCCCTTCCCTCCATCACTGTGTCACCATAAAACCTGTCACTTCCCTTCCCTCCATCACTGTGTCACCACATGTCACTTCCCTTCCCTCCATCACTGTCACCACAACACCTGTCACTTCCCTTCCCTCCATCACTCACCATAACACCTGTCACATCCTTTCCCTCCATCACTGTCACCACAACACCTGTCACTTCCCTTCCCTCCATCACTCACCACAACACCTGTCACTTCCCTTCCCTCCATCACTGTCACCACAATACCTGTCACTTCCCTTCCCTCCATCACCACAACACTTGTCACTTCCCTTCCCTCCATCACTGTGTCACCATAACACCTGCCAATTCCCTTCCCTCCACCACTGTGTCACTATAACACCTGCCACTTCCCTTCCCTCCATCACTGTGTCACCATAAAACCTGTCACTTCCCTTCCCTCCATCACTGTGTCACCACAACACATGTCACTTCCCTTCCCTCCATCACTGTCACCACAATACCTGCGACTTCCCTTCCCTCCATCACTGTGTCACCATAACACCTCTCACATCCTTTCCCTCCATCACTATGTCACCACAACACCTGTCACTTCCCTTCCCTCCATCACTGTCACCACAATACCTGTCACTTCCCTTCCCTCCATCACTGTCACCATAACACCTGTCACTTCCCTTCCCTCAATCACTGTGTCACCATAACATCTGTCACTTCCCTTCCCTCCATCACTGTGTCACCATAACACCTGTCACTTCCCTTCCCTCCATCACTGTGTCACCATAACACCTGTCACTTCAGTTCCCTCCATCACTGTGTCACGACAACACCTGTCACTTCCCTTCCCTCCATCACTGTCACCACAACACCTGTCACTTCCCTTCCCTCCACCACTGGGTCACCATAACACCTGCCACTTCCCTTCCCTCCATCACTGTCACCATAACACCTGTCACTTCCCTTCCCTCCATCACTGTGTCACCCTAACACCTGTCACCTCTGTTCCCTCCATGACTGTCACCACAACACCTGTCACTTCCCTTCCCTCCATCACTGTGTCACCATAACACCTGTCACTTCCCTTCCCTCCATCACTGTGTCACCATAACACCTGTCACTTCCCTTCCCTCCATCACTGTGTCACCATAACACCTGTCACTTCCCTTCCCTCCATCACTGTGTCACCATAACACCTGCCACTTCCCTTCCCTCCACCACTGTGTCACCATAAAACCTGTCACTTCCCTTCCCTCCATCACTGTGTCACCACAACACATGTCACTTCCCTTCCCTCCATCACTGTCACCACAACACCTGCCACTTCCCTTCCCTCCATCACTGTGTCACCATAACATCTCTCACATCCTTTCCCTCCATCACTATGTCACCACAACACCTGTCACTTCCCTTCCCTCCATCACTGTCACCATAATACCTGTCACTTCCCTTCCCTCCATCACCACAACACCTGTCACTTCCCTTCCCTCCATCACTGTCACTGTAACACCTGTCACTTCCCTTCCCTCCATCACTGTGTCACCATAACACCTGCCGCTTCCCTTCCCTCCACCACTGTGTCACCATAACACCTGCCACTTCCCTTCCCTTCATCACTGTGTCACCATAAAACCTGTCACTTCCCTTCCCTCCATCACTGTATCACCACAACACATGTCACTTCCCTTCCCTCCATCACTGTCACCACAACACCTGCCACCTCCCTTCCCTCCATCACTGTGTCACCATAACACCTGTCACATCCTTTCCCTCCATCAGTATGTCACCACAACACCTGTCACTTCCCTTCCCTCCATCACTCACCACAATACCTGCCACTTCCCTTCCCTCCATCACTGTGTCACCGTAACACCTGTCACTTCCCTTCCCTCCATCACTGTGTCACCATAACACCTGTCACTTCCCTTCCCTCCATCACTGTGTCACCATAACACCTGTCACTTCCCTTCCCTCCATCAATGTCACCATAACACCTGTCACATCCTTTCCCTCCATCACTATGTCACCACAACACCTGTCACTTCCCTTCCCTCCATCACTGTCACCACAATACCTGTCACTTCCCTTCCCTCCATCACTGTGTCACCACAATGCCTGTCACTTCCCTTCCCTCCATCACTGTCACCGTAACACCTGTCACTTCCCTTCCCTCCATCACTGTGTCACCACAACACCTGTCACTTCCCTTCCCTCCATCACTGTGTCACCATAACACCTGTCACTTCCCTTCCCTCCATCACTGTGTCATCACAACACATGTCACTTCCCTTCCCTCCATCACTGTGTCACCACAACACCTGTCACTTCCCTTCCCTCCATCACTGTCACCACAACACCTGTCACTTCCCTTCCCTCCATCACTGTCACCACAACACCTGCCACTTCTCTTCCCTCCATCACTGTGTCACCATAACACCTGTCACTTCCCTTCCCTCATCACTGTGTCACCACAACACCTGTCACTTCACTTCCCTCCATCACTGAGTCACCACAACAACTGTCACCCACCTTCCCTCAACTGTCACCACAACACCTGTCACCCACCTTCCCTCCATCATTGTCACCAAAACACCTGTCATCCACCTTCCCTCCATCACTGTGTCAACACGACATTTATCACCCACCTTCCCCTCCATCACTGTGTCAAGAAACAACACCTGCTGCCCACTTTCCCTCCATCACTGTGTCAACAAAAAACACCTGCCCTTCACCTTCCCTCCATCACTGTGTCAAGAAACAACACCTGCCCTCCACCTTCCTTTCATCACAGACACAACACCTGGTAAACCTATTACAAATCAACAATTGCCTCATGTCTACTAAAACTTTACCTCACTAATATTAATGTCATCTCAATATACCTGCTTACCTCACTAATATTAATGTCATCTCAATATACCTGCTTACCTCACTAATATTAATGTCATCTCAATATACCTGCTTACCTCACTAATATTAATGTCATCTCAATATACCTGCTTACCTCACTAATATGGTGGATTAGGTTCACAGCCCTATTTTTTTTTTTTTTTGCTTGGCAGCGCATATAAAAACCTACACAACTATAATTTTGAAAAAAAAATTCACATGAAATACCAAACTATTTCATTACATTTGTAGTTCAAATTTAAAATGGCCATGAAATATATAATGAAAATACAATACCTACAATGACAATAAATTTCTTCTAGTTTAATCACCTTCGAATAATCTTCTTTACTGTTGTACTTATTGGCCATTTCCCAACAATAAAAGTGGCCCAAAAAGAAAACTCATTCACCATTATTTGCTCAATAGCTGCCTTGCTACAAGGGCACAGCATAACTATTAAAATAAGTCTGCTAAGAGCAACATTCACACCTATTCCTCAAAAGTACAGGCACTCTACTTCCCACCTCCAAAATCGTCTTATCCTTATTTTTTTATTAATTTTATTAACATACTGGCAGTTTCCCACTGAAGAAAGGTGACCCAAAAAAAGAAGAAACACTTTCATCATCATTCACTCTTATCAGTGTCTCGTCACAGGTGTGCCAACACTACAGTTAAAAAACGGCAACATATCAACAACCCTCCTTCAGAAAAGAGGCACTGTACTTCCCACCTCCAGGACTCCAAGTCCAGCTTGCCAGTTTCCCTGAATTCTTTCATAAATGTTACTTTGCTCATACTCCAACAGAACATCAAGTCGTAAAAACCACTTGTCTCCGCTCACTCCTAACATGCTCACCCACGCTTGCTGGAAGTCCAAGCCCTCGCACACAAAACCTTCTTTACCCCCTCCTCCAACCTTTCTTGGGCCAACCCCTATCCTGCCTTCCTTCCACTACAGATTTACATGCTCTCATAATCATTCTATTTCATTCCTTTCTCTCTAAATGTTCGAACCACCTCAGCAACCCCTCTACAGCCCTCTGGATAATACTTTTAGGAATCCTGCACCTCCACCTAATTTCCAAACTATGGATTCTCTGCATTATATTCACAGTGCATACTGCCCTCAGACATAACATCTCCACTGCCTCCAGCCTTTTCCTTGTTGCAACATTTGCCACCAATGCTTCACACCCAAGTAAGAGGATTGGTATAAGTATACTCTCATACATTCCCCTCTTTGCTTCCATGGATAATGCTCCTTGTCTCCACAGACTCCTCAGTGCACCACTCACCTTTTTCCCCTTATCAATTCTATGATTCACCTCATCTTTCATAGACCCATCTACCGACAAATCCACACCCAAATATCTGAATACATTCACTTCCTCCATACTCCCTCTCTCCAATCTGATATCCAATCTTTCATCACCTAATTGTTTTGTTATCCTCATCAGCTTGCTCTTTCTTATGTTCACTTTTATTAAATTTCCTTCTTTTACCAAACTCATCCACTTCATCATCCTTAGTCTTTGGATCAATATATTTGATATTATATTCTTTTTTGGCAGCACTGACAGGTGGCTTTGCACACTGTAAACAGGTGACCTTTTGTACCATTAACAGGTGACCTTGTGTACCATTAACAAGTGACCTTGTATACCATTAACAAGCAACCTTGTGTACCATTAACAGGCGACCTAGTGTAGCATCCATCATGATGCCAGCAATTTCCAAGCATCACGCTTCACAGATGTTTATACCAAACCAATAAATGTTACCACCTACTTGTGACAAATGTTAACACTTACTTGCTTACAATAATGTTAACATTTGCTTACAATAAATGTTAAAACTTACTTATAATAAATGTTAACATTTTGCTAACAATAAATGTTAACACCTGCTAACAATTGCTTGCAGTAACATCATCATAACAATTCATCTTGACTCATTATTCACAGCTTCTCCACATGCTCAATGTTTACCCTTGACCAGAAAGAAATTAGAAAAAAATAATAGTTAGGGTTAAGCTTATTTATTAATTCATTGTGAATCGATAACTTTACAAAGTAACTACAGAGAATTATCAATGAGCAAATACTGTATGCTGAAATTCTTAAGGAGAGATGCACCGAAATTACAGAATTACATATTGTACTAACAACTCAACTTCTGTTTATGTGGAGAAAAAAGGGAGTATTTTAGTATACTGTATATTAATAAGAAAGGAATTTAGTACAATGCATTACTGAGTGTTACTAAAGTTATTTTAATGTTTAAATAAGAATTATATTCAATATTTTCCTCTAAAGACAAAGCGTGATAAAACGTGGCAAAGTTGCTATTCCTTTACTAGTGCTGGAAGTGAAAAATTATCATAAATAATGCAACACAAATTCATAACTATTCACTAAAAAATTATAAGAGGTAAATCTAAGCAGTAAATCAATGAAATAATAAGAGAGCAACTAAAATTACTCAAGACATGAGTGCATTTCAATACCATTCCTTCACCCTCATCTTTACTCAAAATATGGGTCACTGACTCTATTTGCAAAACTACCCAAGAAAATATACCTTGCGTCTACGTGGTGGCGGGATAATGAAGTAAGAGGTTACTTTATGGTCCCTTAGATACTGTGAACGTAAGTGGCCGTCGGCCAGCTCCACCTCATACTCCCCACTCAGGCAGTCTAGAGTTGCTTGTGTTATATGCACACGCCTGTAGAAAAGCTTGGTTAGAGGTTAAATGCAAAATGTACCCATGCTGGAAACTTGGTTCATGTACAATATTTATGAATTTAAATTTAATAAAAATAATATAATACTAAAAATAATAATAATAAAATGATGATACTGTATTAATAACAATAATTGCATTCACACGCAGGTGCACAGAATTGTCAGTCGATTAACATGGTAACTGCATTTGAAAATGTAATTACACACGGTAACTGAAAATGTAATTACACATGGGGAATAAAGGATTACGTTTCTCACTTACCAAAAATATCAAACAAATTTTCTTCAAGCTTTGTATTTCTTCAAGATTCAAAAAATCAAGTTCTCTATTCATTACATCATACACCTACCATCCTACTTATGACCGAGCTTGGTTCCGACCAACCAGTCGTAAGTCAAAATGGACGTAAGTCGAACCTTAGAAAATTGTTGATAGGGATACTTCAAAAATTAAATCTTAATCTTATAAAGCAATCATTCTTTTATGTTTGTTGTGGAAATCACTTCAATCCATTCATTATTATTGATTGGTTTTAACAAAATAGGTGAATAACTTACTTCCGAGATAATAGCTGAAAGTGCGTGCATACCTGAGTACTCAGGAAATACAGTGGTACCTTGGGATATCAACAGCTCAAAATTCGAACAATTATATAAGTGTATTTATGTAAGTGCTTTTGTAAGTGCATTTTTGGGGGTCTGAAATGGATTAATCTAACTTACATTATTCCTTATGGGAACAAATTCATTTGGAAAATGGCACTTGGACAACATTCTGGAATGAATTAAGTTCGTATCCCTAGGTACCACTGTATTTTGTTCCCCCCCCCAAAAAAAAATCCCTTTTTTCAATGTTTTCATAAGCTACAAGTGTCTATTACAGTTTGCTCTGGTGCTAGATCCATTTTCTCTCATCAGAGTGACAAAAGAAGGGATAATAAGCATTATGGTCAGTGGTATCCACAAAGTCCTTGTCCTATCTGTGCTGCAGGCCTTTATGTTATGCTAGATAATATTTATTTTGGCATATCTGTTATGTTTCTATGCTACTGATATTTTCCCATATGTCATGACAGATCAATTGTGATAGGTAAATAAACCTTACTGTTGATATTAGCATAAGAATAGAACATTTTGTCAGCTGCTCTCTCTTGCTTGTGTCAGCACTTCTACCCAGAAGGTTCCTGATTGGTTCTCTGACCCTATATTAGCTACATAGTTACATAATATCATATGTTACTTTTACTAAATATTTTACTACTGTATATCAACATCACAGTTATTGTAATGATTTTATTTTATTATTTTTGTATTTCATTCTTTACTTTTTATGCAGTTAGTACTGTATTTTATACTGTAAGGTTTATGAGAAACACTGTGCACAGGGGCCGAAGATTTCACTGCTTCTTTGACGTGCCATCCTTTTCTCCTCCCCTCTATTCTCCTTCTCCTCTTCTCCTTCTCCTCTCCTCTACTCTTCTCCTTTCCTTTCTCCTCCTTTCTCTTCTCTCTTCTCCTCTCCCTTCTCCTCTTCTCTCTTCTCCTCTCCTCTTCTCTCCTTTATTTTCCTCTCCTCTGTCCAGTTAGTACAGTTAATACAGTATGATGCTGCTGATAGGGCAGGGTGATGCTGCCTGCATGACGTGTTACTGTGGGTAGCAGTCAAATATCATACGGCAGTATGCGGTATGCATCTGGCAGCCCTGCTGCCAGACACACGGTCGTAAGTCAAGTGGTTGTATGTCGCGCAGGTTGTAAGTAGGATGGTAGGTGTAGTTGTCTTTCCTTGTTGATATAGAAATGTATGGGAAAGGTGTAACCCTGTACAATACCTGTATATATTTTGCCAACCAATGACTTTATCAATACATTAGAGGGACAACAACAGAAGAGTGAAAAGGTTGAAGATGAGGTAGTCAGTCTCTCAGCCTAGGAGCAGGTGTTCAGTACTGTCTTCTGTTTTTCTTCCTCTTTTATATTGATAAAGCCACTGGTTGGTTTAGGGTTGCTTTACTGGTTTACTTTGTCGTAAGGGTTTGTACTTCCTTCCCCAAAATGTTAGTGAATCCTGACTGCCACATCACCATCTTCAAGGACCAAATGATGAATATTTTTTAAATTTATGGCTTCACCTTTATGCATGATAGTGCCCCCTGCCACAAGCCAAAAAAATAACCAAATGGCTTGCTGAGAAAAATACTAAGGTTTTACAGTGGCCAGGAAATAGTCCAGACTCACAAAATCATAATACATTTGCAAATATCACAAAAAATAAGATAAAATCCTACCACATTTCATCCATGTCATCCCTGAGGCAGGAGATCAAGGACATTTTGGTCAACCAGTAATCCATTGATTTTTTCAAGAATCTGAGTGAAAGCATACACACCTTGAAATGGTTATCAAGATCAAGGTGGAAGATGACAAAATATTAATTTAACCCTTTCATTGTCGAGACCCCTGATCACAAACTTGCTCTCAGTATCAAAAAATATTAAATAAATAAATAAATAAATAAATTATATATATAATATATATATATATATATATAATATATATATATATATATATATATATATATATATATATATGTCGTACCGAATAGGCAGAACTTGCGATCTTGGCTTAAATAGCAACGCTCATCTTGCCATATACGACAAGTGAAAATTTGTGTATGCAATAATTTCGCCAAAATCATTCTGAACCTAACGAAAAAAATATATTTCACTGTGTTTGTTTAGTATTAAATTATTGTAAACAAATCTAAAATATATTTAGTTGGGTTAGGCTAAAATAAATTGCGCTTGTTATAATAAGGTTAGGTAAGTTTTCTAAGTTCCTTTTGGTGCAAATTTATAAATTTTTACATCAACATTAATGAAAAAAATATATCTTTAAACGTATAAGAGAAAATTTTAGAAAGGACTTAATTTTAAATGAGTTCTTGCTAATTGACCAGTTTTACATATTCGGCACGACATATATATATATATATATATATATATATATATATATATATATATATATATATATATATATTATATAAATATATATATATATATATATATATATATATATATATATATATATAATATATATGCAAAACAACCACTCTGAAAGAATAGAGAAATTCCAAGCGCTTTCGTGACTACTCACATTATCAAGTTCCTTGATAATGTGAGTAGTCACGAAAGTGCTTGGAATTTCTCTATTCTTTCAGAGTGGTTGTTTTGCACATTTTGAAATCACCTGTTTACTGTGATCTTATTGCATATATATATATATATATATTATATATATATATATATATATATATATATATATATATATATATATATATATATATATTATATATATATACAGTGGACCCCCGGTTAACGATATTTTTTTCACTCCAGAAGTATGTTCAGGTGCCAGTACTGACCGAATTTGTTCCCATAAGAAATATTGTGAAGTAGATTAGTCCATTTCAGATCCCCAAACATACACGTACAAACGCACTTACATAAATACACTTACATAATTGGTCACATTCGGAGCTAATCGTTATGCAGGGGTCCACTGTATATGTATATACAGTGGACCCTCGACCAACGGCATTAATCCATTCCAGAGAGCTAGCCGTTAGTCGAATTAATTTTCCCCATAAGAAATAATGGAAATACAGTGGACCCCCGCATACCGTTGGCCTTACATAACGTTAAATCCACATACCGATACATTTTGTCGCTAAGATTTTGCCTCGCATACCGCTAAAAAACCCGCTCAACGCTGTTCGTCCGAGACGCGTCTAATGTGCGGCCTGAGCCAGCCTCACATGTTCTGCTGGTGGCATTGTTTACAAGCCAGCCTTCGCGGTAACATCCAAGCATACAATCGTAACATTTCGTATTATTACAGTGTTTTTGGTGATTTTATCTGCAAAATAAGTAACCATGGGCCCCAAGAAAGCTTCTAGTGCCAACCCTGTGGTAAAAAGGGTGAGAAATATTATCGAAATACTGTGGTACCATGGTCAACTGCCGATGCTGCTGCTGCTGTAGCACTGTCAGCTGCTGCTGCTGTAGCACTGTCAGCTGCTGCTGCTGCTGTACCACTGTCAGCTGCTGCTGCTGCTGTACCACCATCAGCTGCTGCTGCTGCTGTAGTACCGTCTGCTGCTGCTGCTGCTGTAGTACCGTCTGCTGCTGCTGTAGCATCGTCTGCTGCTGCTGTAGCATCGTCTGCTGATGCTGTAGCACTGTCAGCTGCTGCTGCTGCTGCTGCTGCACTGTCAGCTGCTGCTGCTGCTGTAGCACTGTCAGCTGCTGCTGCTGCTGCTGCTGTACCACCGTCAGCTGCTGCTGCTGTTGTAGTACCGTCTGCTGCTACTGTAGCATTGTCTGCTGCTGCTGTAGCACTGTCAGCTGCTGCTGCTGCTGTAGCACTGTCAGCTGCTGCTGCTGCTGCTGCTGCTGTAGCACTGTCAGCTGCTGCTGCTGCTGCTGTAGCACCGTTGTTGGTGTGGCTTATTGAGAATACCAAGAAACAATTAACCCCAGAGGGTTAGCCACCCAGGATAACCCAAAAAAGTGTGTCATCGAAGACTGTCTAACTTATTTCCATTGGGGTCCTTAATCTTGTCTCCCAGGATGCAACCCACACCAGTCGACTAACACCCAGGTGAACAGGGAAAAACGCCTGGAACTAGTGCTCATATTGGTGAATTTAAAGCCAGCAAAGGTTGGTTTGAGAGATTTAAGAATTGTAGTGGCATACACAGTGTGATAAGACCTGTTCTGGAAGAAAATGCCAAACAGGACCTACATTACACAGGAGGAAAAGGCACTCCCAGGACACAGTGTCTCATCAGTCATTGCTGCATCTTCAATAAAGGTAAGTGTCATTTATTCTTCATTTAGTAGAGTAGTGCATGCACAATATATATTGTGCATGTACTATTGTGCATGTACTATTGTGCATGTATCCTTCTCTTTGTGT